ACGAGGGTCCCCTTTTTCCCATCTCACCCTGAGCAGGAAGGGACATGGCTCTAAGTCACCTTCTGGTTCCTGGCCGCTGTAGGGGACATGTAGCAACCAAGTGGCCCTTGGGGCATCTGTGGCAAAGCCATAGGTGAGCCCTCAATGAAGTGATGCTTTTAATTTGATGTGCTTGGTTGAATTTTCCACTTAAGGATCTTTGAACCCAGATCTAGGGTTTTGGGTTCAATGGCATTTTCCACCTCTGAATTTTTTAACCCAAATCAAGGACTGTAACCTATGAATAGATGATATTGATGGACCCACATTTCCAGTTTCAAGATCCATACCCTGGATCTTTGAACCCAAAACTAGGACCGTGACCTATGAATAGACCTTCATAGGTTACAGTCCTAGATCTGGGTTCAAAGATCCAGGGTACAACTGGGAACGTGGGCCCATCAATATTAGATCTACAGCTTAGTCCAGGAAAGTCCTGCAAGCCCAGTTCACGTACCCTGGTGTTGTTTACACTGGATTGATATACCGATGGGAAGTGCACCCAGAGCAGGAAAGAGCAAATGGGTAGCAAGCACGATGACGGTGCCTCACTACTAGGTGGTAGCAAGGCGTTTGCCTTTAACTTGTAGCTATGCCAGAATGGATGGGGACAGCAGAAACCTAACCCGGTATAACTTACACCAATACAACTTTACCCCTGATTCTTGGCAATTCCCCACTGGATTGGCCAGACCTATATCAGCGTAGGACTTTTCATCATCTGTCTGCTGCTAGTTTTCCATCAGCAGCATGCTGGGTACCCCGTCCATCCCCTAGACATTGCTTCTCCCTTTATCACTGATACTTGCAACTGCCGCTCTCCCTTCCCAGGCGCCAGGACGAGAAGTTGTGTGAAGCTTGGCACGGGAAAGGCACGTTAAAGAAATATGTCCAGCCTTCAGGTCCGACTGCACTGAGATCAGCACATCTTACTGCACTGTGCAAGATCGACCCTCTTATTGCACTGTGCAAGATCAACCCCCTGCCCTTGCGGCCTCCTTGGGCTAAGTGTCTGTGTTGCTGTGATCCTAGCTGTCAGAATCGCTCCCGTCTCCCTGGAAGCTGCTGAAAGGTATCTGGATGCTTCTTGGTGCAGGGGCCGCACAAGCGTTTAGATCAAGAGGCGGCTTTGGTGATCATCAAGCCCAAGATGTTCGTTCTGTTCGATGGGGAGATGGTACAGAAAGCGAAGCACCAGTTGTGAGGTTGTTTGGAGGCAGGTGGCTGGAGCTTTTCCAGCGAGGATGATCTCAGCTCCTCCTGCAAAGGCTTTGAGATCTGTCGATGAAAGTGCTGTAATTACAAAATCAAGAGAGACGGATTGTTTCAGCATAAAAAAGAAATCTCTCCTCTCTCTTGGGAGAGAGACAGAGGGCTGGGAGAAGCAGCGATTACAAAGACAGGACAGTGAGGGCCTGGTTTCCAGGCTAGAAATGTGGATACAGGTTTCACCTTCAAAAGGCAGGCAGTGCCTCTCCGGTGGGTCTGAAGCAGGCGTCAGTCTGGGTGGCTGAGGAGTGGGTTTTGCTTGCTCCAGCTGCTAGGCAGCCAAAAAAGCAAGTCGCTGCCGGTTGTTTTGAAGTGGGAAAGAAAATCCCACGCTAGCGCCGGACAGCTTTGGAAGAACATAGGAGCTTCTCCTGTGAAATATGAACTTTCATTTCTACTCCTATGCCTGATGAAGGGTGTTTGTGCCCAAAAGCTTGCAATTAAACTTTTTTATTTATTTTTGCAAAAACCTAGTTCGTCTAATAAAAGATATCATCTCTGCCACGAATACTGATTCCTTTTGGGAGAACACAGGTGCTCCAGAGCCTGCAGCGGCTGCCGTCACCTGCCATGCATGCCTTCCTCTTCCCTGTTCCCTGGCAGCCTGCGCTTCCCTGCAGCTGGGGCCTGGATCTGGGTAGGCACATGCGCTCCACAGTGAAAAGGCACAGGTGGGTCCTCATTTAGGTTATTTTGATTCATTGTTTTGCCAACAGCACTTTATTTCAAACATCCTGACCCAATAAATAGCCATTCTTATGTTCTTGTCCTCCCCGCTGCAGAGAGCCAGGTAGAAAGCTGCAGCCATCGCTCAAAGGGAACAGGCTGTTTAGCGGTGACCGGAGAGGACCCAATGCATTGAAGACGAGAAGGGATGTTTCGAAGACCCCAAGACATCGGGGTCAAGAAAAGTCTTTCCCATCCTGCTGCAGAGGAAGATTTGCAAGGAGGCTCCTGGCAGTGCAAGCGATGGGCTTCCTCTCCCGCCCCTCCGATTGACACCAGTGGGCTTTGCCCTGCAGCCAAAAAACCTGAAGTTGTTCATTGACCTGCAAATGCTCTCCTTGCTCCTTCCACGGTCGCCTTGTTGGGAGATCTCACCTTTTTCCTCTCCTCATCTCCAGTGACTGATTTATGCTCACTGTAATGAAAGCAGCTCTACAGAAAAAGAGCCATGCTGTTGGCTGTGACTTACCAAGACATCTTTATCATGCCTGCAGAATTCCCTTTTCACCCGCTCGCATTTAATTTAGTGACAGGAGTCAGTTTTACACCTCAAAAGCAAAAAGGAAAAAAAAAGGGGGGACATCGTCAAACCCATTTGCTCGTTCCTGCTCTGGATGCGCTTCCTATCGGTATATATAGAGGGGAAGGGAGGGATTTCATTATGTCCCCCACTTCTCCCAAAAAAGAACCCCTTACCCTTGAGATTTTCTTTTGCTTTAAAAAAATCCCTGGTTTTGCAAGCCCAGCTGGTGTCGCAAATGAGGAAGACCTCAAAGTGTTGAGGAAAGATTGAAGGTCTTAATAAACTCACGCGCCGCTTTAATGAAAGGCGAAGATTTCAAACGAAAACCTCCAGATTAGGCCTGAGCAGCCCAGCAGATGGGGTTTCATTAAGCAAACCTCCGTGATACGAGGAAAGATGATGTGTTCAATTAGAAATAGGCACTGCATACACCCGCTCTGGAAGTAAGCGCTGCTTTTAATAGCCAAAGACAGGGAGCTGCATGGATACGTTAGGTAAGAAATGACGGCCAAGGTTTCGAATCGACGCCTTCATTTTGAAGTGCCTGAGTCTTCTCCAACGTCGAGAGACCTCAGTAATCGACTCTTTAAATTCCCACTTAGGAAGTCACTTCATTTCTCAGACTTGAGCCTGTGTGAGGCTCTGGCTTGTGACCTTTCGACACACCTCGACTAAATTAAATCACAATGAACGTGTCGCCTTCCAGCTGCACAGCGATGCCAACATTTGCAGAAGGGGGATACTGAAACTTGGGCTCTCGCACTTGAAGTAAGCAACAAAACATGACCCAAGCTTCAGAAGTCATGATGATCCACCTGCCCCCACTTTAAATACCGGACTATGGCTTTAGGGCCCTTCCCATCAGCCTGGGAGCGGACGTATAGGTTCACATTTTTAGCGAATCTGCATAGTGCATGGGTTTCCCCCACCAACTCATACTAGTTTTTATGCACAGATCATTTGGCTACACGGCTTGGTTTTAAAAACCTGCTTGTCCTGGGCACTGGAGGAGACGCAACTACCTCCCGTTTCCCACTTCTGCCAGGCAGTTCAGTGAGTCGAATGCAGCACCACGGGCCCAATTCATTAAGTCAGGCCCCTAACACAGAAGGACCGTGCACTGAAGACCCACTGAATTGGGGTGATAAGCACCAGTAGTTCTCCAGGCAAGCAGGGCCCCGCCAAGGCTCAAGGACCTCAATGGAAAGTGATAACCAAAGACTTTCAGTTTGGGTTTTAAGCGTTGAGGTGGGGGGACGCAGCTCAGCCAAGACCCAGGAACCTGGCAGAGCCACAAGCCCTCCCAAGGACTGCATCCTTCAGCCCCACAGGGACTTGCCTGCAGACACGGGGACCCTGTCTAGTGGTCCCTGATCCCTCTGGCTCTGTATCCTCTACACCACCTGTTTGACATGAAACCCATACCAGGGTTTGGGAGCAAGGGTAAAAACCCAGTTTTCCCCCCTCCAGGTAGGCTAGAGGCAGGCTCCCGTTGCTCACCCTGGAGCTGGCTTATATACAGCAGGGAAAAGAGGGGCCCACCCCTAAATGCAATAGGAATATTGCCATTGATTTCTCAGACCCCATGGATTTTGCATCCCTTTGACCCACCTTCAGTGGCAGGGGGTCAGGGGGAAAACATGCCCCATCCCAACTTATTCAATAGCCTGGCTCTCCTGGGAGGATGGAGATGCGAGTTTGAACTCCGTGGCACTGCGGAGAGCCTAGACCCCAGGTCTCGTGCTTCCTGGGCAGGTGCTGCAACCTCTAGGTTGAATGGGGATTCAAACCAGAGCTGCAGTGAACTCAGTGCTATCAGCATGTGATAGGGTGTGCACACGAGGGGTGCAGGACAGTGCCCCCCATGCACACACGGGCATGGAGGCACTTACCTCCTGGATTGACTGAAGTCCAGCACCCTGTGTCTACAGGTGACAAAGCTTAGGAGACTCGAACCAGGCTGCGTCCCCCCCACCTCAACGCTTAAAACCCGAACTGAAAGTCTTTGGTTATCACTTTCCATTGAGGTCCTTGAGTCTTGGCGGGGCCCCGCTTGCCTGGAGAACTACTGGTGCTTATCACCCCAATTCAGTGGGTCTCCGGTGCATGGTCCTTAGCATCTTGTGGGAAGTCAGGATCCTCCTCCGCATGGGATGCTGCAAGAAGCTGAAGGCTTGGCCATGGCTAGTCAACGCTTATCATGTTTGGGAGCCAGCACCGCCTACGTGTGTGGCCCGTCTTCTGGAGCAGTGCACCCTAGCAAGCAGAAACTGGGGCTGGCTGCCCAAAGAGCAAGGAAGGCAAGCGGTGGGTTTATCCCATACCCACTCTTTCATGCAACAGGAAAACTGCCATTGATTTCATAGCTGTGGCCCTCGAGGCCACCACAGCTCCCAGCCAAGGGGAACGGAGGAACGTCTAGGAATAAATGACGCAGCATGCGGAGATCTTTGTTGTTTTTATTTATTTAACTAAAAAGACGATATAAATCCCTCCTTCCAGTCAGGGGGCATTTCTGCTCTTTCCAGTTTGGCCTTTTTCAAATGTCTATGGAAACCCGTGCCAGCGTCATTCCAGCGTACATTAAAATGAAGGAGGCTACCCCGCTGCTATAAGGAGGCACTAACTGAGGCTTTGTTTCTGGCTAACCCAGGTACATCTGCTTTACCTTTGGCCTCAGGGGAGCTACGGGGATGGCTGCTCAGAGATCCCGCGTGACGCGGGGAGCAGCCGCCACTACCTACAACCGGCGATTAAATAGTCACGGACACGCAGCTCGTACTGTAAACAGACACGCAGGAACGTCGGGGATGCATCATTAAATACGATCTGGGACTGGGTGAAAACCGCACTACACGCAATCAGAGACAAAGTGCATGTTAGTCCAGAAGGGGACAACCAGCAGCTGGTCTATGTACAGCTATGTACACTCACGTGTAGGTCGCGGAACAAGGGTGCAGTTGTAGCCGACCGACTCAAACTGAGCCACTTTTGCTCCTAGAGAAAACTCGCTCTGCCCTGAGACCGGGCCAGTGATGTAGCTGACTTGATATCCCTCGCTCAGCCCAAGGCCCACCTTGCATTTCAAGCTTTGATCTACTGCGTAACATAGGACATAGCATGACTGCCCCCAACGCTGAATTAGGCTTGTGTTGCTCCCATGCCCCGTTTTCTTGCAGGAGGCTTTGTCAACAGCTTTTTTCCCCGCTGCATTGAAGACGAGCATGAAAATCTGCTTGTTTTGGTCCTTCCCAGTGCCGGTGCCAGGCTTCACCTGGCTTCTTTGCAGCAGGTGGAAGAGAAGGAAATATCCAGACTTCATCTCCCCACCAAGAAAATACTTTGAAAACCACATGCCACTTGAAGTGCAGTGAAGGCAGCCAGTTCTGTACCTCTGAACGATGTTTTGGAGCCAGCAGCTGCAAATCAACCCTGCTACGGACGGCTTCAAAATCTGGGGAGGAACAAACCTCCTAAGGTCTTGAATCCCTTCCCATCAACCTGAACACTGCTTGTAATGTGGGGGGCTGAACAGATGACACATTTATGCTAAAGAAAAAAAAATGCAGTAGAAAGATGATGCAAACCCCTAAATTGGGGTAATGTTGCCCAATTCAATGTTAAATTACCCCTAAAAAAAATTGTAACGCTTCGCTGGTGAAGGTTACACTGCTGTGCATGCTCCCGGCCCAGTTTATCTCAGGGAAGCCGCTTGCTCAAAGCAAACGGGCTATTACCGGCTTTCTGCTACCGAGTGCCACGACACAGTCGTGGCAGGCTAGTCTGAGCTGTGATAAGCTGCTTCTCTGTCTGATCCGTACCCCAAGGTCACTTACATCCCGGTATAAACCCGATGTAGACGACACCAGGTGATGTGATTGTCTGTCTGTGCCCACTGCACGGACTGCGAGAAAAACAGAAAATTTTATTATGCTGAAGTGTGTTAGGAACCACTGATTATGAACAGGAGAAATAACCTGATTATTCCTGGTGATACCAGCCTTAAAAAGTCATGACTGCAAAACTGAGTACTAAGCTGTTGTCTGTAGTGGTGTCCTGCTAGGCATGCAAGAGATGCAGCAGACAGCCAGCCTCCATACATCTGATGCACTGCAGCTGCAAGCTACAGGGGCTTCTTCCAGGCAGCATGGAGTAAGTCTCTTTTTTTTTTGAGGTCAATCCAGCCCATGTCCTCTGCAAAGACAGCTACGGGTACCACAGCAGCTCTGTACGGTTGTTTCCACATTTCTTCTCGTTAGATGCTGACCCATCTACTTCATGGTAGCAAAATCAATCTTGTGCTTGACTGCCTTGGCTGTTGGCTCAGTTGATGCCTCTTTGCCCTCACTCAGCACCCCCAGCCCTGTACCAGCTTTGCTACTCTGGTTTTCCTCCCTGCTTCTTGCAAAGGCTGTGAGGAGCTCTGCCACCACTCATTCGGTCTGCCACCCTCCCTACAGAAGCTCATTTTCCCATGAGCTTGGAGCCAATTTAAAGGTGCACAGACCTCCTTATGTCCTTGAATTTCTGGGAGAGGCATATGCTGCAAAGGATACCTTGGGCTTGGAGGAAGGAGGCCCCGGTATGAACCCAGGTGGTGTTCAACACTGGTGCATGGTGCACACCTGGCAGAATCAAGGATTTGAGTCTGTCTGCTGGATTTGACTGAAGTTATTAAGCAGGAAGGGACCCCGTCTTTCTGGACCTTGGTGACATAGGCACTGCCGATGGATACAATAAATGGAAAGAGCTACAAGTTGTCTGAGCAACATCTTCATCATGGGACTTGATGAGTTCCTGCCACCCGAAGTCCTTTGTTGTGGTCAATGCCATCAACGCCCCTGGGTGGAAACACCTCTAACATCACTAGACGCCTCTCTTTCAAGTGTCGCACTGCTCTGACTAGGGAAGCTACTTAGATTTTACCCATTTCTCTTGCTCTACGAGCCTGGGGAAGATGATGGGGTTGGACAGTTGTCACCACGGGTCTAGAGAACTGTTAAGGGGCCAGTTGGATGATTCAGGCTTTTTGGCTGGTAGCAAAACTCAGGCTGGCCATCTTGCATTTGTGGTTAGGTGACTGAGACTGCACCACGGCTGATCAGGAAATCAATGCAACAAAAGCAGGTTCCCGCTTGGTGGTTTACCGGTTGCTTTTCAGGGCACAGCTACACATCACAAAATGTCCTGAAAAGCAAGAGTGAACCAAGCCCGGATCTAGCAGATGCAATGTCTCCATCCACTAGGCTGCAAGAGGAACATCGTCTAATTGGCGTCTTAAAGCTCCTTCCTCTTTCAGTGACCTCTATTTCTTGGTCATCCCAACAGCATCTCACTGGACGTGTGGGGTCTCAATGGGCGATGCCTCCTTCACCAGTGTCAGCGAGCCAGGGAGATTCCCGAGGAGACTCGGTGTGGACCAGGAGTGCCAAGTACAAGGAAGGTCTCTGCTGACAGGTGAGTAGGGACAGCCAGCCCCAGGCAAGTGTGGGTACCAGCATCTATTGCAGGCTCATCGTTTCACTGACAATAACACCAATACAGTGGACGGAAGCAAAAGGGTTCATCAGAGCAGCTTATCCAAGGCTGGGGTCGGGGGATGACAGCACCGCAATTAGGGTATAAGTTGTCTCCTAATATAGGACCATGTCAGCCACTGTCTAACAGACACGGGGGACATTTACCGTATTAGAAAGGGAGCTATTACAAAAAAGAAACAGTGGAGGGAAGAAATGGGAGGACTGACATCAAATTGTATCCCAGAAGACGAGTCATAGACTCCCTTCAATACTTTGGAGATAGAAGCACTTCCCACTGAAGGCTTCACATCTCCCACAGCTTGGCATAGCCAGCAGCAATTTTGCAGAATAAAAAAACAACCCCCCTTGCTCAGGGGATTCCCTGGATAAAATACTAAAAGGGCCGCCCCCTTATTCCTTCTTGGCCCCCTTCCTCCATCTGGCCAGCAGAGGCCCCAAGCTGGTCCACACTTCGGTGTACATCAGCGTCCCCATGAAGACGAAAGCGGTGCCTGCCCAGTGCCAGGGGGTGAAGGGGTTCCTGAAGTAGAGGATGGAGAAGATGAGGCTGACGAACTTGCGCAGCGTGACAACAAGGGTGACCGTGAGGGAGGTGCACTCCGTGGTGAGCCTGAAGACGCCCCGGATGCACACGTATCTGAGTGGGCAGAGTCAAGGAGATACGGGAGATGTTAACCTGGAAGGGGGATAGGGGGACCATACAGCATCCTGGGGATGAACATTTAGGATGTACCGGGTCCAACCAAAGCACCCAAGAGGTGTTACCCCGAGTGGAGCATCTCACTGCAGGCCACTGGGTTTGTGAGGTCCCAAGAGTCAGCTCCAAAAGCACCAACCCCTTGCAGCCCAGCACGATCCCAACTTACCAGTTCATCCCTGATCTCACAAAACCCTCGCTGCCTGTCCTGAAGCCAGGTGCACAGCATGTCTGGTACATCCTTATGAACATTCCCGGCTCAGCCACGTGCTCCCCAGCTCCCCGATACGTGGCGTAGCCAGGGGGTGGCCCAGAGATTGGGCCCGTGGATGCTCAGGATTGTGACCGGGTACCTGGAAAGCTCGCTGCCCATGTCCCACTCACTCTTAGACTTAGTTTCAAGGCAGCAGCGGCCTTAGGGGAGGGCAAGCCAGGCGACAACCTGGGGCCCCAAAATTTCACATAATTTTTTTTGTGGGGTGAAGTTATTAAAAAGTTTGTTCTTTCTTCAATTTATGAAGTTTCATGGATAAGGCAAAGTGAAATTGAGATTGAAAATGTCCCACTTGCTTATAGGTCATCAAAATCGAGCCTTGAAGGGGCCCCAGGTGACTCTTTTTGCCCCTGGCCCCAACAACCCTAAGGCCACCACTGCTCGAGGCTGTAACTCAACCCATGCCCCAAACTAGGAAGGAGACTATTTTTTTTTTTGAAAGGGAAGCACAATATTCACCGTCCTTAATGCTTTTACAGCTGACCGTGGTGTCGACAGGAGCCGGTTGCCTCCATCCCTGAGAGCCCAGTGAGCAACCAAAACCCGATGTTCCTGTGCAACCAGGTAAAAGACCTATCAGCTGATGCCCTCCAGCAAGTGAACTGAGTAACAGATGAGAAGATATCCTTCTATCCTCCACCCCCAAAGCTAAGTTATTTGGGAAGTTTGCAGAGGCACTTGTTAGCTGGTTTAGCTATGGCAGCAATGCACGGCTGGGAAGCAACAGGATCAGCAGAAGCTTTACTGCAGCCAGAGCTATGCCAGCTCCCTCAGCTGAGGGACAGAAGCAGCCGGCAGAGCTGTGTCCACACAGGGGAGGTTGACCACAACAGCTTGCTCCTTACCCTTCCCACCCCAACACAGATCTGCTGGCAAAACATCACAGACCGAGCAAAACAGCCACCAGACGCTGGAGTTAGGACCTGCTGTCCGCATTCTCCAGCCGCCAGGCAGCATCCTCTCAACTCGTCGCTCCTCTCCTGCAAGAGGGGCGAAAGTGCACGTGTCTGGTCACGGGGATATTTCCACCTGCCTCGGGCCCAGCAGGCTCCCACAGGACAGACCGGTGTCCAGCAATGGGATGCAACGAAGGGAGATTTCCAAGAATTGGTGTTGCACAGAGAGGACTCTGGGCTGGCTTCTGCACTGCTGGATTGGGAGGATCAGTGCGCCGTGGCATGAATCCCATATGGATTATTCTGTCCCCCAAGGTGGCTGCAATTAGTGATCGGCGTGGAGGGTTGCTTTGCTCCTGTGTAGTAGGAGCTCCTATGCTTCATTATACTGGTGCTCCACCTTTCAGCCCCAGGAGCCAAATGAGTGGTGCTGGGCCTGCCTGTAGGCCGGATCAGGCCCCCTCCCTGCCCTATGTGTTGGGACTGGGCCCTGGGGGTCTGATGCTGCCCCCTCCTGCTGGGATTGGGTCCTGCACTTCCCCTGCCCATGCCCCAAGACTGGCTCCCAGGGGCCTGGCACTGCCCTCTCTCCCCCCACGTGTGCCAGGATTGGGCCCTGGGGCCTCATGCTGCCCCTGCCTAGCCCTGCACGCTGGCATCAGGCAGCAGATCCAGCACACCAGGCCACTGATCCAGAGGTTTTTGGTCCCACCACCAAATTTCTGGAGCCATGGGGAGCCCCGTGGGCCAGATCCCTCAGTGCCAGGTGCTGGATCTGGGGAGCCCCATGGATCAGAGGCTGAGCACAGACTTTACACTCGATGCACAGAAGTTGCCATACCAAAACAGAGCCATCCCTGGACATACAGAAACTCCCTGTTTCATCCCATGAAAACCTCGCCAAAGCCCAGCTTATCACAGCAGTCGCCAACCTGCAGCAGCACGCCCCGCCCTTGAGCCACAGGGATGAGTTCGTAGCAAACCTAACCACACAGAGCCCAGCGCAGGTCGCCGGCTCCTCTATTACCTTTGCTCGCTGCCTTCTGTAGCATCATCTGTCTCTCTGCAGCTCTGTGCACAAATTTGATTGATTTGTATAGGATCCTGCTTTCCCCCAGAGTTTAGCTGCTTTGTGGGTAGCCTGCATCAGCCTCTGAGCATCTGTAAGCACTGCCCTTCTCTTGCAGACGTCACGCCGTCTCCTCCAGCACCTACCTTACATAAAAATGCCTCTGTGTAATCTCCTACAGGGACGTCTTGTCCGGAGGCTGATACAGAAAGCAAAGCTGACCCGGCACAACCTACCCTCCCTCCTAGGTATTCCCTGACAACCGTGTCTCCCCTTCCTCGTGTCTGCCTTTGCAGGTTTGAAGGATACTGGGTGATGACGTTCATGCTGAGGTAGAACCACATGATGGGCAAGGTCAGTCCGATCACCGGGACCTGGAACGGCTCTGTAAGGGGAAAGGAGCGGAGAGGCTCATTTCCGATCTCCGATCGGTTTCTTATGGCCCGAGACTCATATCTGGACCCCCTCACATTTCTCCCAGCAAAGGAGTGAAGGGAGAGTGAACTGGCTCACCCATAGAGATAGGGCTCAAAGGACCACCGTGAAGAGCGTGTATTGTGAAACACATCTGCTGAGGACAGCCAGACCTCCCCTCCAACATCAATGACCTTGAGCAAGGGTGGCGAACCATGCCTGTGGCAGAAGCCGCCAAAACCAAGAGCTATAAACCTGCCTGGGTCCACACCACCATGAGAGAGGCCCAGTTTAATTGCTAATCTCATGTGGCATCTGGACTCTGCGACATTGAGCTGCCATGGGGAGGTCTCCAGCACTGTCCTGTTTTCTCAAGCACCCCAGGTGTAAATGGGTCTCTTGCCATTCGGGATGGGGAGACTAAGGCAGCTGGGTGTGATACAGACACTTTGTGCCATGACAGGCTGCTGGCTACAGAAACTGGTCTGCTTTCACCATGCCTGTCCTGTAGGCCAATAGGCTGAGCTGGATCTTGGATTTTAAACACCCCGTTCAGCAAAGGCTTCAGTTTTCCTGACACTGGAGCACGTGGCTTATATGACATTAACATTTGCTGCTTGTTTCATTTCTGCACGTGCGCAACCTTTCACTCCCGAGTCACCCCAGTGAGGCACATGCCCAAGTGCGCCGTACGCAGTGTTAAGTGCATTTGTGTGAGCTCCATGGATGAGGTTTTACCCCTCAGTGGAGGAGCGGGGTGGGGGTTTAAACCAACGGCCTAGGGCAGTGGTTTTCAACCTGCAGTCTGTGGACCTCTGGGGGTCCACAAGTTGTATCTAAGGGGTCCATAAAAGATGACTAAGATCACTGAACAGTATGGGAATACCCACACACAATTCAAAGAGTTCTGCACCTCCATTTGAAATTTCCAAAGAGGTCTGCACCTCCACTCAAATTTTTTTTAGGGGTCTGCAAATACAAAAGGTTGAAAACCACTGCACTAAGGCCATTCAAAGCTGTCCTAATGAACTCCTGCAAGTGGGACCAGGTTGCAAGAACCAGCTTGCACGAGCCTGACACTTACCAGACTGGCTGAAGAGAACGGCGTGGCGGCCAATGTCCGAAGCAAGGAGGAGGAAACCTGGAAGGGGCAGCGCGTGCTGAAGGAGAGAGAGACCGGTTGCAGGGCTTTAAATGGCGACCTGGCAGAGACTCCATGAAAACACTGGGCAACGGTGACCCCCTGGCACCAGTGTGGACCCTTCTACCTTCCAGCCTTATCATCTGTGATCAGACTCCCTGCCTGGCCCGGGCCAGGGACTGCCCTGAATCCACTCTGTGATTTTTTTTTTTCCTGCTTGCCGCTTCTTGGAAGCTCCCTGTGCTTAAACCAAGCTTGTGCAGAGTGGATCCAGGCCTCTCCCATGCTCCAGACCAAACATCTATTGCAGAGGTCTCTCTCAGTTTATAATGAGTTCATATACAAATTCGGTTATTGCAAAACTACTTCTGGATCTGAGGAAATCACCTGCAGAGCTGGTCGCTTACACAGCATGTTTTGCACAAGCAACAAGTTTCTGCATGCAAGACAGCAGCTTTCGGGGCTGAAGATTTCCAGGTAGATCAATGGTTTCGTTGCTGGGAAGTTTCACGCCCTCCCCTGCCCTCAGTCCCATTCTGCGGTGAACTGCATCGACAAAGGTAGTTACTTACATTGTAAAACAGGGCCTCCTTGGAGTGCTTGCCAAACTCTTTATAGAGGGTCTCTTGGAAGATGCCCATTCTGGCTGACATCAGGAGAGCAAAGGTTAGAGCGGCGACCCCTGGAAAACAAAAGCAGCCATGTAATCACGCCGGATTTTAAATCACTGCTCACGCAGAGCCTCAGGTGTTGGCAAGAGGCAGCAAGGAAAATCCACAGCACGATGAATGCTGCAGGCTCCAGGATAAGACACTTAACAGAAGCTGCATGACTCTGGTTACCTGGCAAGACATTGCTTCTTGACTGATTTTGGAAACCTGACATCAGCCCTTGCAGGACAATGATGGCGTGAGTGATCTCCATGCAGAGAAACTGATAATATTGGGTTCCTTTCATTACTGGTGAAACATCAGCCCTCAGTCCTCGAAAAGCTGCCCACAAGTGCAGACTGCAAGTGTAATGATACTCTCACGTGCCAGATTTTCAAAAATGCCTCCATGGTGCAAAGATCTCTGGCCACCTGGGTGTCAGCACCTGGATGCCCAAGGCAGGCACCACTTTTGGGGGCAGGGAATCAATATTGTCTGCAAAGAGATGTGGGCAAATTCCTCCTTAGTCTAAATCTGCTGCGGTCACTGAAGCAACCACCATTTTGCCTGGAAATCATGGCACTGTTGTGGTTTTTGTGGTTTTTTAATTCTGTTCACCATTGTGCTCTGCTTGAATACTGTCTGGGAACAGCATCATTTTGTGGGCCTTTCTTCCTTCCTAGTTTTGTAAGAGGGAACTGGTTTCCATAGGCTGGACAATTAGGCCCAAATTTCAATCATGAGTTCACCAGCAGGTGTCCATTCATAGCATCATAGAAAATTCAGGTGGGAAGGGACCTCAGGAGGTCACATCTAGTCCAACCCCTCCTCAAAGCAGGACCAGCCCCAAGTACATCACCACAACCAAGGCTTTGTCTAGCTGGGGCTTAAACATCTCCAAGTAAGGAGCTTCCACCACCTCTCTGGGCATCCTGCTCCAGTGCTTTTACTATCCTCCTTGTAAGAAATTTCATCCTAATATCCAACCTCAACTTCCCTTGCTGCAACTTGAGCCCACTGCTCCTTGTCCTGTCATCTGCCCCCACTGAGACCAGTCCAGCTCCATCCTCCTTGCAACCCCCCTGCAGGGAGTTGAAAGCTGCTATTAAATCCCCCTCGGTCTTCTCTTCTCCAGACTAAATCAGCCCAGTTCCCTCAGCCTCTCCTCACCAGTTGTGTGTCCCGGCGCCCGAACCTTTTTCATTGTCCTCTGCTGGACTCTCTCCAATTTTGTCTATTGAATTTGTCGACTCGGTGCGAAACTAAGCTCAGAATATTTATATTTAATGAATGCATCTTACAAAGTGCTCTGGAAAGAGATGCGGAAAAGTAGGAACCTAGGTCCATCACTGAATCTGTCCTCCTCCCCGTGCCCTATTTGATCACCTGCTCGGTAAAGTTGATACTACAGCACAAAGCTGCTCAGGCAATGCAAGCAGAAATGTGAGTCTTCTCAAGTTGGTACCCACAAAGGCAACTATGCAACTAATCTGTGGAGCTGAGCATCTCGCAGCTCTCTGCCACGGTGCAGTTTGTTTAGCGCGGCCATAGCCCTGGAGACCAAGCTTGCGGGAGCAAGTGGTGCCAGTGTAACTGCCAAGACAATTAGCATCATGGTACTTACTGACCTAACAGCCACCACAGGAAGACTTGGAGCCCATCCTCTTCCTTTGAGCTGGACTCAGAAGCCTGGGGAAGGGCAGGAGGGAGAAAAGAGATGTAACTATAACGAACAGAAGCAGCACGGTAAAGTCCACATCACTGTGTTGATCAGGGCTCATGAGACCTTTGCTGTCTCTGTGGCTCTGGACACAGGGAAAATTTATATCGGTATAACTGGGTCTTTCTCCGAGCGTGAAAGGAGTGGGCATATGTAGTAAAACCCTATAATAGTGTTACTCCAATCTGGTGCTAATACACCCTGGGGAAAACTAGGGGTAAAACCACAGCAGGATGAGTTAAATCAGTGTAGGTATCGTGCGTCTGCAGCTTAACTCAGGCAAACCAGCTTCACTCCAGGCAAACAGGTAAGTGATACTAGCTCCCCACTATTTAGGCAGCGTAGTAACTGCTGAAAGCAGCTATCCCAGGACAGCTAACTGGTTGTCTATTTGCTCTGATCCCAGTGTAATTTATAGCAGTGTACAAACCCCTATTCTGGGGTAAGTGCGCTGCGTGCATCTCAAAGCTGATGGACCATGTTTCGTGCAAATACTGTATGCAAGACATCAGTGAATCATTTTCCTCGATCCCCAGAAGTCACTTCAAGGATCCATGGACTTTGCACAACTCAGTCCCCCAGCTGAGGGCAGCTGAGCAGTGCAAGCCACCTGCGGGAAACGAGGACGCAAGTCAGAGGCAGAAGCTGCAGTTTAAGGGACTGGGCAGGGTAAGAACGTACCTCATTCTTTTGTTTTATTTTCCACGTGTGTCTGCCTCTTGCAACGCTCATTTCCTGTTTTTACAATTTCTCTTATTTATAATACAAATCTTTTTACTGGTTTTTACTTGTATGCACTATCTGTGGTAAGCGTGATTTCAAAGCAATAGGCAGACAGAGGCTGGCCGCTCATCCAGGGATGTTGCGGGGCAGGGAGGTAAAGGGCTTAAAATATTCTACATAAGCTGGGCAAGGGTGTGAGTCTTTAAACTGGCACAGTCTCCACTGCTAGAGCTGGCAAGACCCAGATGACAAACAGGTGGAGCTGAGGTTCACCGGGCTAAGAGGCTGACCCATTGGGAAATCTCAGCTTGTCCTCGCCGGGCAAGCAGCAGATGGTGGAGAGATGCTTGGGGCTGAAGGTGACAGCACCCCTGGTTGTGTTACAGTACTTCGGTTCCTTGGAGCAGGTTGGGCAGCTGGGGAACGTTTTGCTTCGGTCTCTGCTTTGGGGGAACCGTTGGGTCATAGGTGGGACAGATCAGCAAAGCGCCCCTGTCAAAGTCATGCCCAAGCATAATAAGAGACTCCAGGCATATCCCATTTGCAAACCGCTGGGTTTCTGTCCCGGGGGGTTTGGTCAAGGTGTTTAAGCCAGATGCATGTGTGATGATGAGAACTCCAGGCAAAGTGCCTGCCATGAGGCCTGGTGCCTACATATGGTTGTACTGCATTTCCTTTGCTCCTGCTGAGGGCAGCAGGAACTAGGGACTCAGTGTCATTTTGCAGGGGAGGGTGGAAAACAGACTTTTATTTGGTTATCTGATAACGATTTCCCCTTTTCTGGCATGGTGCATGGCATACATTGATGCCCAATTCGGTATTGTGCGGCACGTGCCAGACCCCCAGTATTGATGGGGCGCTTGGAATTAGCTTGCGTGACTATGGATCTAATCGAGCTGTGAAGTTTGGTACAATTCTCCGAAAATACCATATTTTCTCACGTACAACACCACCTTTCCCTCAAAAGCAGCCCCTTAAAATTGGGGTGCATGTTTTAAGCGGGGGAAGCCATTCTCTTCACGCAAAAAGAAGCGATCCTGGAGACGCGACGCATGCCAGGACAGCTGCTGCTCCTTTCTGCTCAGCAAACTGAAGGGGCAGGCTTGTGTTAAGCCTCTCACAGCTGTTAAAGCAGCAAATTTGCTGCTGGTAGTACCATGATGTGGTTTGCGAAGTGGAAACGACACATTATGTACAGGAACTTGTATAAAGAACTGACAGTCTTGCCGCTGCCCTTTGCAAAGGTCTGGGCCCAAACTTGTACAACAGAGCGTTGCTCTCTGGTGACGTAGCAACGTGCTACATCGCTGTATGGCACGCTACAGTGACTTAGTGATCATGTAAGTCTACCTGTGATCGGCAGCAACGTTGCAGTAGCAGCATGCTCTTCTGGTATAGCGCACTACTACGGCGACATCGAACCGTGCGCTGCGCATGGTGCTGTACTGCACCATGCTTTAATACTTCCAAAAGGAAGCGCTAAAGCACGGCGCCACAGCAACGCTGCTGTACTGCGATGTGTAGACGCGCCCAGTAAGTCCTCATGGGAATACAGACCGGTCAGGAAGTGCGGTATCGCAGGAGACAGTCTGCCACACCAGCGAGCTCCTGTTGTCACACTTGCTGGCCACTCCGTGTTTCGAGGAGGAGGTACTCTGCCGCACAACGGGCAATGACTCTAGAACAATCTTTTCTACATCGTGCCTTCCAAAAACAAGGCGCGTGTTTTATTTGGGGGGGGTTATATATGTCAGCAAATATGGTGTAGAGGCACCGTACCGAACCCTGCCTCATTCCAACTAATGGAAAGCAGCTCTCTACAAAGTAACTGTGAGGGCTGAAGTCTCTGCCTGGTGAATGAGACTGGGCTTTGATTTCATAGACATTAGACATTAGGGCTGGAAGGGACCTCGGAAGATCATCAAGTCCAGCTCCCGACCCAAAGGGCAGGAAGTCAGCTGGGGTCACAGGATCCCAGCAAGATAAGCATCCAATCTGAGACACATTTGGAAATCCTACCCCCACCTACGGCACATTTTTCCTTCTGCAGCACGTCAAGCCCTGTATGCACAGCAGAGCCTGATTTTCCTGAAGGCACCTGTGTGATGCAAAGCTGTTAGGGGCTGGTGTCATCACCAGCCAACAGCAGGCTCACACCCCCTGCAAAACGGGCTGGATTACATCCGTTTTCACCAGGATGCTGGAAAGCCAATTTCTTAAACACTTGGGAAAGGACAGGGACGAAAAGATCAAGCGTAAAGAAAAATTCATGCTTTGCTTTGGAAGCTGTGAACAAGGTTTTGTCACAGCAATGTCACCTGAGCATGAGCACAGCAGCTGACAAAAGGGTTGGGGTCAATACACTTCATCGCTTCCTCTTGGGCAGGGGGTGTCAGCATTTCTCATGTGCAACACGCACCTTTCCCCCAAAAAATTACCCCCTCAAAATTGGGGTGTGCGCATTAACGGGGGAGAACTGATTTTCTGACTGTGTTTGAAGCACCCTGGTCTCTTCCTATTTCACAGCCTTGGAGACTACTTAACTCTTTCAAATTCACTGGTGGAAACAACTTTTCAGCAACGGGTACGGTTTCAGCTTAGCAAAGGATGAAAGTGAGAGCGATCCCCTGAAGATCAGACTCTGTCCCTGCTCTATGCAGCTGTAACTCTGGAAAAAAATCATCCGTTTCCCCCCCAACTTCATTCTGCCTTTCAAAATCAAGCTGCATATTATATTTTGGGGTGTGTTGTATGGGAGAAAATATGGTGACTGTTTGTATTCAGTGCGCCCCTAGGAAAAGCAAGTGCTAAGCACCAAGTCATAAAAGCACCTTTAACTAATATATATGCAGGCCAGCAAATTGGAGGTGTCCGACTGTTGGAAGAACGACAGCTCTGGGAACACTGATACAAGAGTTAAGGAGCGTTTCCTCCTCCCATTAATAGACGCCAAAGGAATGGGCTGATTACAGTACACACAGCTGCTCCCGCTGTTCATAGGAGCTCACAGGGGCAGCCTCGCACACCTCCCAAAGCATTTCTTACCACTTGTTTTGCTGACATCAGAGTGCAGATAAAGATCCCCACAGACACCAGGGCTATGGATGCATATTTCAACATGCTGTACCTGTGCAAGAAGAGAAGAGAGAGAGACTTCAGTGTCACAGCCAGTCTTTTCCAACCCGGGGTTTTTCACTGAGGATGCTTTGAGCCCCGTCCTGCTGGTTTAAACATGAAGTCACCGACTGGAAACTCTGCTGCGTGGAGGGAGGGGATTAATAAAGGAAAACTCGGCTTGCGAGCACTAGCTCTTTTAGGTCTAATCCTCTCCGTGCCCAGGGACACGTGTTCTCCGGTGCAGGGCCAAAGGGTGCGTCGGAAGACAGGAGCGCTCAAAATCAAGTTGTTCTGACTTCCTTCCTGCTTAGGCTCTGCTCGAGCAGTTTAACTTCCCCTGATGCTCCCGACAGCCGGAAGGGTCAAGAGGAAAAGCGCTCCCCTTATGAACATAAGCAGCGCCATACTGGATTAGACATATGGTCCATCCAGCCCAGTATGCCATCTCCCCATCCAGCCCAGTATACCACCTCCAACACTGGTGGGAGTGGCTGCTTTAGAGCAAAGGGGGCAACCTTTTTGGCTGATTAGCCCTGCCCCCCTCCACTCTGATCCCTTTCCCTGACTTGAGCTACTGCTCTGCTTTCTGCTCCGTTTGATCTCACGCTCAGCTCCCTCCCCTGCCCCATCTTTGGGAGCTGTCTGCCTCCTCCTGAATCTGCTGTGTACCACACAGAGGGGCTGCCGGTGCCACTTGTGGCACTGGTGTTGCAGGCTGCCCACCCCTGCTTTAGAGGGAGAGCGCTGAACTAGGTATACCCGGAGACGGGGTTCCCAACCTTTCTAGGCTCAAGGCACCCTTCAGAAAATAGGAACTATGAATTCCTATTTGAAATCCCTGGGTTTATCTTGTGAATCGTGTCTGCACACCTAACAGTGCTAACATTGTGCAGCTCCCTTCGGTGCCCTTAAAAGGAGCTCAGGGCATTCTGGTTGAAGATTGCTGATCTAGTGGGCTCTGTCCCCAATTTATTACCCTTTATGTCATCCATCTTCGTTGGTTTAGCGATGCTGCAACATCTCTGACGGTTTTGCTTAATAACTATTAATGGATCTGTCTTCCATGAATTTATCTAGCTCTGTGTGGTTCAGCCTGAAGAAAACTAAGGGGGGACGGGGTGGCAGCCTACGAGTATATCAGGGGCATGCATCAGGGTTTGGGGGAGCACCTATTCACCAAGACCCCCCAGGGGAGGGCAAGAAATAATGGGCACAAGCTGAGTGAAGATCGCTTCAGGGTAGACGAAAGGAAAAGCTTCTTTACAAGCGGAGTGTCGAGGGTCTGGAACAGGCTCCCCGAAGATGTGGTACAATCACCCACCCTGGCGATCTTCAAAAAACGTCCTCACACCCACCTTGCCGGGGTCATTTGATCCCAGGGGTCTTTCCTGCCCAAGTGCAGGGGGGTTGGACACGATGATCTGCAAGGGTCCCTTCCAGCCCCTAACAACTATGAAACAACTATACTACCTGTCTCTCTCACCTCCTGTGGCAATGAGTTCCACAGGTGAACTTCGTGCTGCGTAAAAAAAGTACTTTCTCGTTAGTTTTAAGCCTGCTCATTTTAAAACCAGACGCGTATTATCTACCCTGGCCTGGCTTCCACCCAAGACTTCCGGTACTAAGAAGCACAAGTCTCTGGAGCTAAAGATATGACTTGCTTATCTGACAGCTGCAATAAAAAAAGATCCTTTTACATGGACCAGGCCGCAGGAGGGGGACAAAGGTCAGCTCACTCCTATTGCAGCACAAATAATAGCTTTGCTATATCCACTGGAGCTGACTTCCCCCACGCCACTCCCCACGCAGCCCAGATGTGCGCAGAACTCGGGGCACGGCGCTTCCTGCAACTTCTAGGTGAGAAAGTACAGTTTCTCCTCCAACAGTCACTTTGCTTCTGCAGCGCAACCACCCCCGGGGGCAGCAGTCCACCAGTAAGGCCATTAAGCAGCTTCGGCTTATGTCAGTCACAGTGATCTAGGCCTTATGTGGTTATCTGCACTCTTTGGGCAGAAGGGCCTACCAACATGTATACAACTGAAACAACCTTTAAACACTGATTAGCCAGCCCAGGTTTTCCTCGAATTAATGGAACAGCTGTGGCTGAGACCTGGAATAGGCATCCCTAACTCCCTTTGCAACAGATGCCCTTCTCCAACATCAACGCTTGTTTTCCACTGGTAAAGTGAAGACAAGACGTATATAGCTGGGTGGTGGGGATTACACGGACCCCTTGGGACGTGCTTTGCAGATGAAAAGTGATGCCCAAAACGTGCCCAATGCTGCCATGCCAGCAGAGGCAGCTCAAGCCAGTGGAACTGGTTTTCCTGCTGACTTGAAACTGGCATGGACGATTTACCTTTTTTTCAAGATGATGATGCCTAGCGCCATGCTTGCTATGAGGGAGCCCTGCAGAGGAGGGGGAGAAAGAGAAGCAAAACAAGGTCAGTGTGGCAGACACCCAGCCGGGAAACCGAAACACCAAGCTGCGCTGTGTGCACCGGAGAGTTTGACCCCCACTGAAAGAGCAGCCTGGACAGCAGAAGGAGACTGAAATGAGAGGGATTGTCTTCAGACCAAAAAGCACAGAAAATAAAAGGGATGGGGCTTGGGACGTAGCAGAGAAACTTGGGCTCCGGCAGCTACCGGGGAAGTTCAGCCATACAGCAAGCTCAAGTGGGTTTGTGGAGTCAGCCTGGCTGGAGCACGAAGGACTACATCTTTTGGGGAAGGGGTGCATGGCAGATGTATATGCCTTGCAATCACGCAGCAGTGCTGCAGCAGGATGAGATGGGCTTGGTTCAACGTGGGGCTACGGCCAAGAAACCAGTGCGGAGCTCAGCTCTCGTGGGGCCTGGGCTAGACAAACTCGTCTTGCCCAAACAACCCTATCTGTACATGTCACAAAGTTCAGGAGCCTCTCTCCACACCAGCGACACATAAGATGCATGTGTCTGATGCATCAGAAAGACTTCTGTTGTCATCTGGCAGCCAGGAACCCCAGAGGAAGCACAGCTCCTTGTTTTAATGCCAAAGCCATTTGTGATTTGTGCAAGTTATTATGCTCCTCTGTGCCTTGATCCCCTCCTGGCCCTCACTTTTATACACAAATGCCTCCGAATGAGAAACCTGTGGTCACAGCATCCCTGAGACTGTAGGTTCATCCTCTGTAAGAGGTGGGGAACCTGAGGCACAGACATGAATGGAGCAGCCCAAGCTCTGAAAAGGAAGTATACTGCAGAGCTGAACACAGTGACACGGCTTTCCTTCCTCTGCTAACGACCCTGTTATCCTTGTAATGTCACGTAGCATTTACACGGGTCTTTATGTGCAAGCAAAGGACAGGGATGGGCCATCTGAACCAAGAAGCCCAGACCCCTACATTTCCAGGCAACCATTTGTCCAAGAGCATCCATTCTGGTCCTTTCAATCTGCCCTGGCCATGAACCCAAGAAACATATTGAGGACGTGTCACAGGAAGAGACAAAGGTGTCACTGATGCTGCTCAGGCCACAGCAATGGCAACAGGACTGCAAGGGAGCCTGAAGATGCATTTTCTGCTTCCTGGGGACAGTGTTTGCAGAGACGCTGGCACGCAGGGTGCCTGCGAGAAGGTGCTTACCGATCGGAAGATCATGTGCAGTGGCATGGCTATGTTCAAGTTCAGGGCATAGTTGTTCACCACACTGACTGTGAAGAACATGGCCACCATGATCAGGTAGTACCTGGAACGGAAACAGGAGCAGTTGCATGAGGACAAAAACATTATTCCAAGATGCATTTCCATGCAGCGCCCCGAGGACTTGAAGTTTTCTGCTCTACTGTTGAACAGGAGCGGCTTGGGACCATCCCTGGCTCCTCTCTCACCTCTACTATGCGGGCGAACCTCTCCAATACCCCTGGACGGAGCTGCTCCAGGCCTGGGAGGGGAATTCAGACACTGGGCTCTGGGATCAGACTGCCAGCAGGAAGGCTGATTGAGATTAGGCTGCTAAATAGCGACCTTTTGGGAATCCCTGGACCCAGGGCATCCCATGCAGACCACTGAATCGAAGGCATCAGCAACGCAAAATATCACTGAGTTTTCTAGGCCTTGCCGCTACCTCTGTAAGGCTGCTCCTTCCCAAGGGATGAATTTAGTAAGATTTCTTTCCCCAGAGCTGCCCGGAGGCCCCTATCGGATACCAAACCCCAGAGAAATCCAGCCCCCTAGCAGCAACAGGCTCACTTACTGTCTAGCTACCGATGCACTCCCTGGGAAAGAAGAGTCGGAAGACAATTTCCTATTAATAGCTGTAGATAAATGAGGAGTTCATATTTGACTAGGCATGACAGGCTCCGAGCACGGCTTTGTTAATGCTGGCAAACGAATGGGTTTTAGACAGGATAAATGGATAAGGCGTTTTATTAACTGCATCTAGCATAATAGCTATCTAGCCAATTTAAACCAGTGAATGCACGGTACCTTATTGGTATGGTAGGCCGCTTCCTTCCAAAGTTTGCTTCGAAAATAAATCCTTCCACGGCTATAAATAAAAACTGAGCAAACGTCACTATGTTCCCGCATCCTGGATGCTTCCTGCAATGGTGGAGAAGGGAGACAAGGAGAAACATGAAGACATGAACTGTATTGCAGATGGATACACTGTGGAAGAGGCCAAAAGCTTATGGTTATATAGCGCGCATCAAGTTTTTCCTTTGGGTAAGTGCTACCCAAGCTTAGTTGTCCAGAGTCTTATATTGCACTGGAAACAAATAGGCAAAATGGGACCCGGAGGTCACTTCACCCATTATCTAGAGAGCAACTTGGCAAGTGTCTAACGACATGGAGTGCAATCCTTCCACGGGTTAGGACAGGTAGCGAAGGAGGCTCTGTGAGGATGCTCCAGAAACTCATGGCAAATTTTGAAATAAAACCATTTTGTGGGCAATGATCATTGACTCGACTGCACCACTTCCCTGTGGGTGCATTCGACAGAGCCGCCAGCCAAGTTCCCCGCGGCTGCACCATTTCTCACTTTGTCACCGATATAAAACGTGCACATTTTGCTGTTAGCTTGTGAAACACCCTCGCAATTCCCTGCGGCAGCGGTATTCAACCGAGGCACCCCGAGAGAGAGATTTCACGCCATCAGAAAATCCTTTTTCATTACAGGAGCATCTCGTATCCCCGGTCCGCGCCACAATCCCACCCCGCGGGGTCTGTACACACACAGCTACGCAGCGCTGGGAGCAGAACCGATCCACATGCATCCAAATCGCATTACTCATTTCTCCGTTGGTGAGAAATTGCCGTGAATAGCAAGGTTATTGCTGGTCACCGTTTTCATTTCTCAAAGTACCACACTGTTTTATTTCCCTCCGTGGGAGATGGGCTCTTCCCGATCATCTGAAGCGCTGCTCATAGGTGCGGAGACAAAGACAAGTCATTGCGAGGGTCAGCCGCTCACCGCACGGGTCAGCCGCTCTGCAGCAACTGCCTGCGCCTGTGATTTTACCCCCTGGTAGGTAAAAGCTAGCCCAAGTGAGAGCGGGTTGGCCGTTTTGCTGCAAGCGGCGCTGCCACGCGGCGAACTTCTCGTTCTGCGACACTGTCTGCAGAGCTGCTCGGCCCTTTCTACATCTGAGCAACCACCACAGCAGAACCGCTGCTTGAGGCTCTGCAAGGCTTGAGTCAGACCAACTCACCCCATACCCGAGTAAGAGGGCAGGGCCCAGGCCCAGCCTTTGTCTGGGGCCCCCACGAAACGAAAGCCACCCCTTTGCAAGCGCCCACCGAGGCGCGGGGAGCAGCCCTGCACACTTTGCTGCGGGAAGTGGGTCTGAGGGGGCCCTTGCTACGCCTCAGGGGGAGGAAGAGGACTGTGATGGACAGCCCGGCTACCGGGGTCCTTGTCCTGCCCCCGGAAACTCAGCTACCTCCCCCCAACCCACATGGCCACCGAAAGAGGAGAGGTTTGGGTCTTCCACAGTGGTCAGTCGTTTCACCTCTCAGATCCGGACCACGCTATACGGAGCCTGTAGCAGTCCTGTAGCCAGTGCCAAGCCTGGCAGGAATGGAAATGCATTGCAGGCAACCTGCAGTTCACCTCCAGAGCAAACAGTAAGTCACCAGGCTGTGATGGGAACCTGATGTTAATCAAATACTGATTATTAATGCCAGGTGCATTAGCAATGCAATCCCCGGGGCCGGCTCTCCTTCCAAGGAGCTTGGATCATGCAGCTAATACGGGGTTTTGCCAGGGAACTAGTTACTACCTGGGAGCTCAGATCAGGCCATTACGGCCTGGGGAAGAACAGCATGCAGGCACTTTCCTGCTATTTATAGCCGTGAGGACAAATAAATTCGAGTCCACACTTCCCTTTTTCTGCTCTCTGATGCAATGAAAGAACCAGTGCAAAGGGCTCTCGGTTGCGTACGAGGCCTCCTTGGGAAAGGCTCAAGCTGTGCTCTTTCAGAGCACCCAGAACCCGGTTTTCATCAATTTGCCGTCCAGCTGAGTGTGTCATTTGCACGCCTCGTTCACAAGCAGACGCATCTGTTATCAACTCGCCCTCTGCAAAGATCCAGAATTTGGGAATCCTTGGATAAGTGAGCAAACGATGAGCAAGTCTACACAGCTGTCCGGAAGGATTTCCATGAGCCATCACTGTCTGGCCTTTCAGCTCCATTATCACTCGCCTCTGTATTGCAGTCGTCACACTATGCCGATCTGCTGGGCCTCCATTTAGAAAGAAACAAGTGCAGTGTTCCCAGCTTTCCCGACTTAGGAGCTGTTCTTAAAGTCCATGGTTTGGGAACATGAAAAACTTAGCTCTTTCTTTTATATATTTTTTATAATTAGCGCTGCTTTTTTTTGCAAAGCTCCTGTTGGTCTAATAAAAGATATCATCTGTACCACGAGCCCTGATTGCCTTTTCCTCTAGATCAATACGGCTACAACCCGGATACCTAATTAGTGCTGTTGCATTCATGATTCTTAAAGTCTTTATTTTATTTATACACACACACACACACATTAATATACTTATTCTTATTATACGACTTGTATCTCTATAGATATCTATCTATAGATACATATATCTATCTATCTATATATATCGATATATCTATAGAGAGATATCTCTCTCTCTCTATAGATATCTATCTATCGCTCTCTATATATATCAATACATCTATAGAGATTGATATACATCTATCTCTAGATATATATATTTCATAGACATTAGGGCTGGAAAGGACCTCAGAAGATCATTGAGTCCAGCCCCCTGCCCCAAGGGCAGGAAGTCAGCTGGGATAGATATCTATCTCTATATATACCAATATATCTGTAGTGATAGATATCACTCTCTCTCTAGATATATATATCGATATATCTATAGATAGCTATTACTCTCTCTATAGATATATATATCGATATATCTATAGAGAGATAGGTACCTATCTAGCTCTCTATAGATATATATACCAATCTATCTAGAGACAGATAGAGATCTCTCTATTTATAGAGAGAGATATCTGTAGAGCGATATCCATCTCTCTACATATCTATATAGCTATATATACAGAGACAGATATATACAGAGACAGATCAAATAAAGAGGTAAGGTTTTCCCATTCCCGAAGCGCAGATTTTAAGAACAACACCTCAAATCCTGACAGTTGGCGACACTGCAAGCGTCACAACCACACAGCCCCACCCAACCCACAACCATGGGCTCAATCTAAAGAAAGAGAGGGGCACCCAACTCCCTTGCCGATCCGGACCTCCGTCCCTTTTGCACGTTTTGCAGAAACCTGCTGCATGCGGTGACGAACATTTAAAATCCAGAGAGGACGCCTTTCCTGCCCGATCCCAGGTAAGGTTTAAGACACAGAAGCCTTGTTTGCTAACTGGATTCCTCTGCCTTTCTCTCCCGCGCTGTGATGTTGTGCCTCCAAAAGCAACCTTTGTTGATTTTCTAAATTCATTCCCTAAGGCCCTCGCCCTGTAACTGGAGCTCCGCAGGTGACACAGAGCCTCATTGATTTGGAGGCCTGAATCCCTTGATCTGGGGCTAGAGAGATGGAAAGCAGGTATGTTAAATATGCGTCTCATGACACTGGTGGCATGGGCAATGTCGACGAGGTGGAGAAAGTGCGGTGCCCGTCTAGCACCAGCTAATCAGGGGTGGGTAAAGCAAAGAAACAGTCTTAGCTTAACCACTGTGCCGTTACAAGGAGAGGGAGTCGAGTCTGGTCCAGGAGCAGATGATGCCGAAAGGCTCATATAGTAGTGGGTTTTTAGTCGCGACTTTGCTAAGCTCTCCGCGTCTCTAAACTATGTGGCTGCACTTAAAAGCAATCCACGGTCGATCCTCAGCTTGCGTTTTGAGACGGCTGGCTTTCTGGCACTGGCTTTTTTGAGATCCTCCGCATCCCAAAGCGTTTTCACCATTTCAGCTAGGCAGGGCTCACCTTTACACCGCCTTGGCAGAAACGCTTCGTCAGCTCCTACCCGACCGTGTGTAGTCACTGTGCAATTGTGAAATAGCCCCGTAGATTGGTATCTGTGTTTTCCTTGTGACACGCTCAATCTGGGAGGTGAGCGGACTTGCACAGAAGACACCGGCGTGTTGCCAGCGCTCACAACCTCATTGCTAGGTTAATATTTGAGGCTGCCTCTTAAAGCCTCAGGCTCGAGTCATGTAAAGGCATGAAACAGCCTGGCTTTTGGGCATGTTTGAATTCAGAAAGTAAGTTGTAAGTGTTAGGGCTGGCGGGGCAAACTTGAGCAAACTCTCACGGTGTCGCGGAGTCGGAGAGCGAGGAGGCCAAATAAGGGCCCCACGTGCAGTATTTTGCATGACATTAAGCCAGTGGTGATTTTAGAGGGCTTGAATGTTTGGGCTTTTAAGTATTTGGGGGTTGGCCGTCCTGGAATTACAGCCCGCCGTGCGCCCTGACGGACCGATACACGTATGGAGTGGCATGCTGGGAGGAACGGGGCTCGGACACTGACTCCCTGCGTAGCCTTGGGCATGACACTTGGCCAGCCCGATTTTCTAGAGCAGGCACGGCCAGCCCGCGGCCCATCGGCGACAGGCAGCAGAGGCATTCTCTCTGGATCACGGCAGATCGGGGAGCACAGGGCAGGGAGCAGAAAGCAGAGCAGCAGCGGGAGTGGGTTGGGGAACCGAGCCATCAACTTCCCAGAGCTTCGCTTTTCCTCCTGTTGCAAATGTCGCCTCCTGCGCCCACACGACCCTGCGGCCCGAGGGCTCCCCTCCCTCTTCCCCGCAAAACCTCACGGGGCGGCGCAAAGCTCATTGCAACGTTGCTGCCCTCGCTGCAGGACCGGGGCGGGCACGCGTCCCCTCCAGGTGTGAAGGAGGCCGGGCGGCGCCGTGGGGCAGGCGCAGCTCTTCCCGCTGCAGCCTGGATGGGCCGCGGGATGCGGGACCCAGGCAGGGGTGCGGGACCCCAGCAGCTGCAAGGCCGGGGCTATGGTGTGGGCTGACCTTAGGGCTGGGGCAGAGCCCGGGGCCACAGCCCAGCAGGGGCTCAGCCTCGTGCTCCCCAGCCCTGCCTCCCTCGTTGCAGCCTCTACCCCTCCCCTAGCCCCAGTCCCTGCCCCATTGCAACCCTAGCCCCTGCCCCTGCCCCATTGCAACCCAGCCCTGCCCCATTGCAACCCCAGCCCTATTGCAACCCAGCCCTGCCCTGCCCCATTGCAACCCCAGCCCTATTGCAACCGCAGCCGCTGCCCCATTGCAACCCCAGCCCTATTGTAAGCGGTCCCTGCCCCATTGCAACCCCAGCCCCTGCCCCTCGCAGCGCGCACCTGGCCAGCAGCTCCAGGAACACCACGTTGCTGCAGCAGCCGCCGAAAACCAGCGCCACCGCCGCGGCAGGGTGCATGGCAG